CAAATTCATTCGATAGCTCAAATATCAGCGAATATGATGCTTCAAATTGTTCTCGGAAAGGTTTTCATAGCGCCATAGAGCACTGTGAGAGCGAAAACAAAGCACGTTTCAAATTCAGAACTTTTCTTTGCACATAGAAGTTACATATGGACAAAAAGTATACACACTTTGTAGAGAAAACCATGTCCTATCAGAATGGCACGAAGAACTCAGAGTATTTCCGGTGAAAAAGAGAAGAAAACATTGTTGAAGAATGAAAATCAGGCGCCACTGGCGAAAATGTTTATGCTGCCGTCCTCAAAGGGATATATTGAGAAAAGTGCAAAATGATGATACGCGGTTCAAGACTCCCACTAGCACTGTTCTTTCCCAGGATTACATTTCCACCCATCTAAAAAAAGGACAAAGCATAAAGCTCTCGGAGGCGATCCATTCGCGGAGGGAAGCCCTATGCGCTCGCCTTCATCAAGCATCGGTCAGAGGTGACGGAATGCTAATCTGGCTCCTACAATGATAAATCAATGAATCCTGTGTATCAATCCTATCAAATCGGTGCTGCTATCCTCCCAGACAAGTTCGCTACTGATCCGCCAACACCGGAGGAATGAAAGGCTTCATGAGCCTTGAGCGCAAGGTCGAACCATGGGCCACGTGTGTGCGGGTCGCAGTGCACCTCTAACCACTGCGACAATGTTCCTCACTAACTAAGATGGAACTACAATGAAAGCAAATCAGCTTAGACATACTACAACATGTAAGCACTACCAAGATACTCGACAAGAACATTTTTTTGTAAGAAGAAAGAATACAACTTACAAGATCGGCTGCTTTACAAATTGTATTTGACAAGTCGTCGAACAGTTTCACAGTTGTTTCTTCATTACCACCGGTTTCGATCTGATTGACGAGACTCAAACACTCCAATCGGACATGCTTGTTCAACTCTGCAAAACTCTCGGAGCTCTTCAGACGCGCATCTTCAAACAACCCCTGAAAATTTTGTCTCCGTTCGCATTGTTTTCCACATGACAGAGGTAATTCCCATTATTTAACACGCTGACAACGACGCGAAACCCCGCGCGACACGCGGTGCCGTCGGGCGGCGTGCGCGGAGACTACAATGACGTTGTGGTAGTTTTCTAATGATATCTGGACTTTTATCGTTACTAAAGAGAATTGAGTCGCCAGTAAATAGTAAAATATGACAGAGAGACTACGATAAAGCTATCCGTAGCAGAAACAATGGCGTTGTTCTCTCCAAAAACCTCGAACATAAAATACTTTGTGAAGTAGAAGAAAAACGAACTCTGCTTGTAAAACGTTAGCTTTTTCGTTAGCAGAAAGTAAAATAAAAGTAATTTAACAAAGTAAACTTAGTGGGATAATGGGCGTTTTCTCAAATTATCGAATCACTACAAAAACATGGATGAAATAGAAAGAAACGAAGTTATATAACAGCTGAAAATGTGTTCTCTTTCACAATAATGTGCTTCTCTCATTGGAATATAGATGATTTTCGACACATGGGCATTCTCTTAACTATGAAACTTTTTATCGAAGTCTCTTCTGTTATAGTGAATCATTTGGTCTCGGTAATATCCCCTCAGTACCTCAGATCACCAAACAAATTCCCATATTTCCATTGCAAGGCGTGATAATGAAGGCCGCGCCGCGCCGCCGCACACGAGACGACCGGTATGAGCTAAAAACAGCTCACAAACGCTGTCAACATGTTAAATAATTCATTCATAGCCTTCAAGCTCATATGATATGCATACAGATAAAATAATACCAACGTTAGTTTCAGGATGTCCCATAAGTTTTGACACTAAAGCAACAAGCAACAGACTTATTAAGCACTGATTCAAATTGCATGATTTAAGTGTCGTTTAATTGTGCATTTTCTTGCGAATTCTGGTATACAACTTGCCCATGCGTTCTCTGCAATGGAGCTGCCATGGGAACAAATTCGCTTACTACTCATGCATGAATGGCGCTTGGGAGAAAATGCTAGTAAAGCGGCGCGCAAGGTTAATGGAACGCAGGACGGTGAATTGGTAGCAGAAAGGACGATTGGGAAGTTCGAGAAGTTCAAAGGCGGAGAGAACAGTCTGGAGGATCTGTCGCGTTCGGGAAGTCCATAGGAAGCTCCCTAACCCCCTATGGGACGACGTGTACCACCTGAGGTACACGTTTGTTAGAAAGCCGTTCTCGCTGAACAAAACTCTCTTCCTAGACACCTGGTGATCATTCGAAAGGTTAAATTTTGGCGATTTCAACAGTATGCTTTGTTCTTAGAAAAGCCTTTGTATTACCTTGCAGCAGCGAAAATAAATTTATGTTTCACACTCACTTTACTTTACTAACTCGGCCGGGGCTGGGTCATGGCCCTTCGCCAAACTCTCATTAGTTAATCGATTGGTTTTTCACAACGTGATCATAGAACACTGTAAGAGCGAAATGAAGATTAAATTCCGCACTCAAAATTTTTATCGTATAAAAAAGTTATATGCGCGAAAAAACATATGATAATGTAGAGAAAATTATGGAGCATCAGAGTAACACAAAACCTGAGGTTTCATTGCCCAAATAATGGAAAAAATCTGACTGAATTAACGCAAATAGCGCTTGCGCTCAACTTCACTAGCATTTCCCTTTACGCGCCAGTCGTGCGTGATTATGAAGCTATTTTTGTTTTCAAGACAGCTCCGTTTTGAGGCAAGTATAGGCCAAATTGTATACCAAGATGTTCACAAGAAAATGTGCGATTGATCGACACCAAAACCATGTAGTCTTAATTAATTGTGCTCAATAAATTTGGTGCTTGTTGCTTTAATGCCAAACTTATCAAAGGAATTAATATATAACTGAGAAAATGAATATTCGGTAGTTTATATGTTAGGCGGGTGACAAATTTTGAGCCGATCTCACTCGCTGGAGAGGAACTTTCGACAGGAGTGTTAGTAACCATTAGAAAGCTCAGATCTCTGGCTACAACTCTAAACTACCGGTTTTTCAAACCAAGCTTTTTATAACGCTGTAGTATTTAGAATCAAATTTTGTTTCTCACTCGCTTTCTGGCTTCACTTTTTCCCACGAGTATAAATAGCAAGGAAAGCATATCAGCGTGTAGAGAATTTCCGTAGTATACAGAATTATGCGTTTCTATCTAAAGTTTCGTGCCGATGCTTGTGAAAAAATCCCCAGTTAAATAACGTAAGTTGCCGCCGTTTCAACGCATATTGCGGTAAATCACTATCGAGCTACGTGGTAGATCAGAGATTACCTTACTAAGAAGTCGCTATGGGTTCCCTTCACATCTTATTCAGCTGTGAACTTTTTCAGCGACCTTGTTTACTCGGGTGAACTGACGGAGCGGGGCGATGGATCACGTTTGAAATACTGTTATCAATTAAGGATTTTCATCGACAGAAACTTCAGATAAAAACGTCTGGTTCTGATAGTAAAGAAGATTCCTTACAAGCTGATGTGCTTTTCGCGCTTTTAGTGATTTATCCTCGTAGTGAAAATGAAGGCGAAAGGTGGGTGTGAAACAGAATATTATTCCGAATGCTACAGCGTTATAAGAGGGTGTTTTGGAGAACCAGCAACGGACAGTTGTAGCCAGTGATTTAAGCTTTCGAATGACTACTAACACTCCTATGAAAAGCTCCTGTCCAGCGAATGAGATCAGCTTAAAAATTGGTCGCCGCCTAACATGTAAGTGTCGAGAATGCTATATTTCATGACCTTCGTTTCGAGTGTTTTCGTAAGACCACAGCTCACATTTCAATATGCCCTGGAATCATTTTTGAGCCACGCATGTCAGTGGTCTGTCAAACAGGGCTGACTTATCGGGCTCTATAAGTCAGGCCTGTTTGACAGACCACTGACATGCCTGGCTCAAAAATGATTGCAAGGCATATTGAAATGCTATGTTTCTTTTCAAAAGAGAAGCCGACGAACCTGAGGCGGCAAGTCGATTTCATTCTCGTTTGATCGCCGAAACACATATTTCTGTCTCGATAGGCATCGGATCGGCAGACGACGAAGCAATCCTCTCGACACAAACATGCTCTAAATCGATCGTGTAGTGAACAATTCAACAAAATTCGGTTGCACCTCACACGACGACTATCGGCGGGTCACGTGGACGAACTCGAGGAACTCAAAGACTCTTCAGGGCTACGTGACATGCGATTTCGCTATAATAGAGTCTAATTTGAAAGCTGTTATTGGAGACATTAAAACGACCATGTAAACATAAAAGATTTGATCTAAAAATAAGGTGCTCGAGTTCAAACAAACACGCATAATTGCGTACACGCGATATTACAGACTTCGAAAATCAACTTGACGGGTGGCACGTCTGTTTCCTTGACCTTTCGTCGTCAACAATAGGTCGTTTGCCCTTCCGACCATGTTCGGCCACTCCACTCCCTCTGTCTCTCTCTCTCCTCTCTCTCTCTCTCTCTCTCTCTTCTCTCTCTCTCTCCTTTCTCTCTCTCTCTCTCGCTCTCTCCTCCCTCCTCTCTGCCTCTCTCCTTTCTCTCTCTCTGTCTCTCTCTCTCTCTATCTCTCTCTCTCTTTTTGCTTCATTCATCTCGTATCGTCGTCACAGTGCAATTTACGTGGCAGCGATTGCTGTGGTGTAGCTTTATGTTTTATTCAGCTACCCCTCTCACTTCCACGGACCCAACCCCAACTATTTTCATACCACGGCACACAGCATTACAACGCCCAGTGAAGTAATAATAAATAATGGAAGCTTTATCATTTATTCTCCACAATTAACTGTTTTCTTGATGAGCTTGCTCTATGAATTAGTGTGAATAAATAGTGTGATATTAAACAAGCGCAAACCGAATATTTGAGAAGTGAGTGATATGCAAAACACTGAATCACAGGGGGGGGGGGGCGGGGGCGAGGGCGGGGGCGTAGAAGCTGCGTCATACTCACTCGAGAAGCGGACGACGGGGAAGGAGTTCTAGCAAAGCGGTGGCCTCCTAGGTGTAGTGGTCAGCACGCGTCCCCGGCGAGGTGAAGCGCGGGTTCAACCCCGTCGGAGGTTCTGCATATCACTGAACATCCTTGGATATATAATTATGTAATTATAAACACTGCCAAAATTAAAGGTAAAATTAAAATTCTTGTGTAGACCGAAGAGTCCCAGCGGGTTTTCCGTTATTAGAACTTTCACTCCTGCTATTTATTGGCTAGGGCTCCCAATACTCTTCGTTGAAGGCCTCAACCTCCTCAAAGTTCCTTGTGTTCCGCCTCTAGACCCGATCGTTCAACACCGAAAGAGACACGTGAATTCGCGCTAAGGATCAATAAACACGACTACTAAAAACAATGTGGAAGCTTATATTCTTTTCGACTGGGCAGATCATGCTGTTTGTTTGTGGTACATGAACGATCGGGCCTAGAGGCGAAACACAAGGAACTTTGAGGAGGTTAGGTCTCTAACGATAAGTACTGAGAACCTTAGCCAATATTAAAAAGGATAAAGGATAAAGCTCTCGGCGTTGGTCAATCCCTGAGGGTTGCGCCATACATTCGACTTCAATTTTCAACTTCGTTTGAGGTGATTGAATGCATATCTGGCCTTTACAATGACTCGCGGTGGCCTCCCGCTGAACCGAGTCAGTGCTGCTTATCCTCCAAGACAAGTCTGAGACCTGTCTAGTAACCAATTTAACCGACCCCGGAGGGATGGATGGCTTGGTGAGCTATGAGCGCGAGATCGAACCATTGACCTCGTGGCGACGCAGAGCACCTCTAACCACTGCGCCACGTGCGCTCTTTGCCAATATTAGGAGTAAAAATCCTCACACGGAAAAACCGCTGGGATTCTTCGGTCCCAACAAGAATCTTTATTTTGACCGTTATTTTGGCACCTTTATGATTATTTAATTATTTATCCAAGATGTTGAGTGACATGCAGAACTCTGGACCTCTGGCGGGGTCGAACCAAAGATTATTCCACTGTTGATGTCGCCGCACTGAAATGTTGGGATGGATCGATAGAAGTCGAAGGTTAATCGAGATTTTCACTTCATATGTCACAACACGATGAACGGAAAGCCAAATTACAGAGCCTTTCTTCAACATAATCGCAATAAATAGTAAGATTCGGTAGCGGTAAGTGTAAGGTGTTAGGTGTCGCGGCAGATCTCATTTAGATTTTTAAATGGAAAAGAAACCGAGAGATCCCATACTTGCATCGTTCTTCCATCAAATCATTGACAATATTAAGTGAGATTGCGATGTACCAAACCTTATCTCTGATGAAGAACTTGGGGCTCCATGGCCGAGTGATTGTGACCTTGGTCGAGGTGCGCGTGGGGCCAAGCCCCTTTCCTCCCCCCCCCTTAACACTCTGTGGCAGTCAAGAACGAACGCCCTACGGAACGTCACATTCAGGCTATCCTCGAGAATACTAACAGACGTACTTCAGCCAGAAAAGCAATGCTGCTGGAATCAGTGGGATTCGCATAGTGGAAGAAAACTGTGAAGAAAGATCAATAAAGTACCAGATGAAGAATATCATCTCTGCTTTTTTGGAGATCATTCAATGAGCTACACTGCGAATATGCCTAAAACTTCCACGTAAGCCATTGTAACATTTACAAACAGTAAGACCGTAAGTCTTCACACAAGACCTCGTATCTGTAATTCATGAGCGAGTGGAGCCTACTGAACCGCTTTGTTATTCATCGGGTAAAAGTGGAGAATTTACCGATCTCTCCACTCCTCAACTGATGGTTTTTTGAAAGTTGTTGCTGTTTGATTTATTCCAATGTTGATGCAGGTTTCTATATTTCTTACAGTGAAGAGCCATGAAGACTAGTGCAAAAATAATTGCGGTTTTAGAGTGTGTGAAACCGCAATCCATTTTGTAGCGCTTCGAATGCGAGATTGGTAGAATAGTTGACATTGATGTCTTTTGCGACTTCTTGTTCAGTTTTGAGAGGATCAGCTTCAATCAATGCAATTCCCATGGCTTCTGACGACGTTTGTCCAAACGTAGTTGCGCTTTTTGTGTTCCTCAAATGCGTCTCCTTTACGAAACTTATTCCAAAAACCACTGCACCGTACGTTTCTTAGGGTTTTTGGGTCAAATGCTTTTATTTACGTGCGCGCTGTTTTCGCTGCCTTGAGACCCATAATAACCACGAAGTGGAGCCGCCATTACTTTTGCACCAGCCAATACCCTTTCCATAGTTGGAAATTAAATATGTAATAAGCAACAAGTGTAAAACATTTGTCATTGGCAAAAAAAACATAGAGGAGAAATCCAATTCAAAATCATTCATAACATATCCGCATTTTTCAGGAAATTGATCCTTCTCTCAAGCGGCAAATTCCCGTTTGAACCGCAATTACTTTTGCACCACGTGATAAATTAGTCCAGATTTTTCTATGATTATGCTAATTTGGTTTTCTAGCTCAGCGCAGCAGATTTAGAGTTCCACAATGTTGGTGATTATCTGTAATAACAATTCCGTGAAGATATCTACCTATGAGAAGAGAGCATGTGGCGCAGTGTTTAGAGGTGCTCTGCGTCGCACACAAGGTCAATAGTTCGATCTCGCGCTCACGGCACACCAAGCCATCCATCCCTCCGCGGTCGGTAAATTGGTACCAGGCAGGTCTCAGACTTGTCTGGGAGGATAAGTGGCACTGACTCGTCTTTTAATCACCTCAAACGAAATCAAAAATCGAAGACGAATGCATGATGCATCTGTCAGGGATTCGTTAACGCCGAGAGCTTTATCCTTTTTTATCCACCTATGTAAGTGTTCAATGTTCACTAATTCATTCTTGTTTATAGGCGAAGTTGTTTACTTTGACAGTTAGTCACTTAATTCTTAGACCGTAACGTACTCTCTTATTTTATATGATATTCGAAATTATAGTATTTTCACTGCCTTTTTCGCAGTGTTATGATGTTACTTACATAACTAAGAGAATTGAGTGGTGAACAAAAACACGACCTCAGACGGTAATCGAACCCACGTTTCATCCTATCCGGGGACGGATCCTATGTTTTTGTTCACCACTCAGTTCTCTCTTATTTCACTTTTTATCCATTACTTTTTTAACTGACACTAAAATACACACATTAATCACGATCGGATCCTTGCATGTTTTTCATAATTGTCTTGATACATGGTCTCATTCAACACCTAAAGTGTGTAGAAATCTCGCTTGCTATTCCATTCTATCGGCTGTTTTCTACTAAACGGCGACAAATGAAAATGGCCCTTTTCGCTGAACAGGAACTATCCATTATACTTTTAGCAATCATTCGAAACTTAAATCTCTAGCTACTGCGCTACATGGCTATTTTTCGAACTGTTCTTTTATAATGCTGAAGCAGAGAGCTGACATTTGTGTTTCAAACTCGCATATTTCCCGCTGGAGAGAGCTTTTCCCTCAACTTATGAGTCACCATTCGATAGCGTAGGTGTCACCGATTTCAACGTTGTGCTTATACTCTGCAAAGACCGCTTCATGAAACTGTAGGAGGAAAAATAAGATCGAGTTCATACGCGGGATGTTGGTGCTGGCCTTGGATTCCATACGGCAATTGATAGCGTTGACGCGTTACACATGGGGAGTGCAATTTTTGCTTCTTGAATAGGGGTTTTTTACCCGCTTCGAAATAAACTCCACATAAAACGTATGACTCTGATGCTAGAAGATTTTCTTTGCAAGTTCATATGCTTTTTGTGCTTTCAGCGAAATTAAACTGAAAACGCTGAGTCTTTGTAAAAAATTATTTCATCTTGAATGCTGCGGAGTTATAAAAGGCTCTTTGAAAAAACAATCATGTAGCGCAGTAGCCAGAGATTCAAGCTTTCGAATAGCTAACAACATTCTTATAAAGAATTCTTGTCTAGCGAAAGAGGTCTTTTTTTATTTATCGCCGTCTAAGAGAAGCAGGAGGAAACGAGCGGCTTGGGGAACGTTTAAGAGCATCGAAGCTGTAGTGAAGAGGACAAAGAACATCCGACTCCGTGCCCACCTTTTCGACTCGACAATTATCCCTGCCCTAACTTATGCAGCACAAACCTGTTCGTTACGTAAGCAGGATGAAAGATCACTTGGCGTTATCGAGCGCGCAGTCGAAAGGTCGATGCTAGGAGTATCTCGCATTTCGCAAATGAGACAAAGGATGCGAACTTCCGACCTACGTCAACGATCGAAAAGCAGAGACGCCGTTCTACACGCCAGGATATCGAAAATAAGGGCCGGACACGTGATGCGCTTCAACGACAACCGATGGACGAGAGCCGTTACCGACTGGATTCCTCGGGACGTCAAGCGCTCTAAAGGAAGACTACCGACTCGTCGGTCCGATTTCTTCACGAAAGCGATAGAAGAAAGATATGATGCTCAGCGAATTCCTAGAGCAAGGAAGACCCACTGGGCTACTCTTGCACGCGATAGGGAAAAATGGAAGAGTTGCTGGTACCCGCTCGAGTCACTCGACGATCAACGGGACGACAGGTGATACAGGTGAAGAGAAAAGAATCAATCTATCTTTGAATAATTCACATTGCTGAGCCGTTTATATAGTGCGGTACGTTACTGTTTCATATTTTCGTATGCTAATTCTTCTGTAAGCGCATATGGCGCAGTGGTCAGAGCTGCTGTCATCGCACACTTGATCGTTGGTTCGATCATACGCATGGCTCATCAAGCCTTCCATTCCTCCGAGGTCGCTAAATTTGTAGAGAACTTATCTGGGAGGGCAGTAGGGCGGACTTACTGCATCGGTAGGTTGCCTCAAGTCACTGTAAAGGCCATTATGCGTTTAATCGCCCCAAGCGAAGCTAAAATTTAAAGACGAATGCATTATGCATCCATCAGGGTTTGATCAGTTCCGCGAATTCTATCATTTATCTTTTTGATTCTTAGTATTTGTTATTTTTATTCGTCACATGGACCAAGATTTTCAATCCGTTCAACTTCTTGCTTTCTTCATATAAGAACTCTTTGGCCTTGTGGTAACTTCGTTTTTCGCTCAATTTGGTTTTTCTCATGAGTGCGTTGATTGGCA